GTCCATATTAACTGGTTGCCAGTGTGATTTCTGTATTGTCAGCACCTGTTAATACAGGTGAGGTTGATTAAAACTTATAGGAACATCATAAACTCGGAATGAAAATTTTTCTTACAATTTTGAGAAAATGCCAAAAATTTTGTCCAGTCAATTTTTGGGGTTTTGCGTGGAATGTGTCAGATTTGGCTTTTTGCTCCTCCACTTTTTTGTGTCATACCAATACAAGCAAAAGATATAAACATGAGAACACCAAACCATTTGCAATTGCATCAATTTTCTGGGCGAAGTGGTGCATTATCTGATGGAAATACAGGGGTACCAATATTTTTGGCTATGACTAAATCCCAGGGATTTCCTCTCACCTCCTGTTTGGCTACGGGACAGAAAGTGAAGAGAAATGTCCACAATGGAACACAGATGACAAAAAAAAATCTGACAGGAGTTATAACCCTCCCTTACACTATCTAAAATGTTAAAAAAATGTGCCTATAGTTCGTCTTTAAGCAAAGAAATAAATGTGGACACAGGCAGGAATAAGATGTCAGAGCCATTTTATTGAATATCTGTGCAGTATATTGATTTTCCCAATTCCCATGTAGCATCAGTTTTTATTCCCAAATTTTGTGGGATAAAAGCCAGAGGGCCTTTATATTATACTAGTAAAAATGAGCCTGTTCCAGAAAGGGCAAGGTTGGGAATAGGGTACGGGTAATGGGTGATGGAAAAGTAGCAGCTCAGAAGGAGGCAGCTGTATTGGTGACATGAAGAGAGTCCTGCAGATATGGTCTTGGGAAAGGGAGAGATGTCAGGTGCAGTGGTCAGGATGAGCTGGCATGCAGATGTGCTAATGGGTGTTGAAAGAGATTAGTAAGTATTATTGGAATGGGGATTTGTGCAGTCATGGTGTTAGGGGCAGGATTAATTGCTGGCAGACTATCATGAATAGGTGGCAGATTGTAGTGCTTGTCGAGTAGCGGGTTTGTGGGGTTTTATGCTTACAGTGTACTGGGAGCAGGCGGAGGGGTTTGATTACTGGCTAAAGCAGTGAGTCGCAAGAGCAGAGGGGGTATAGTTCTGGCAAAGTGGTGAGACAAAGGCAGCAAAGTGGCAAGGGGCAAAGGAATGGGGAGTTTGGAGGGGGTGGGGATGAGTGTGAGAATTGGTCTATAAAAATGTCCCCAAATACAATTTTTGTATTTCAAAAACATTATCCCATCTAAGCCAATGCTTAATTTATATATTTGTTGTGAACATTACATTTCAACGTGAAACTAAGGGGAAACAAAAACATAATGTACTTCCTATATTCTTAAAATAAATGATCAGATTATGGAGGATGGAGCGTATGAAAACATATAACACTAATCAGGTTACTAGCTCCTGTACTTCATTTGTATTCCTATCAAGTTCAAATTCATATTTAAAAATACAGTGTATATATATCTATCTATATATATATATATATATATCTATCTTCACATAGAGTTGATGCGGTTTATGGGAAGCAGCAATGTAAGCATGTAAGCACAGCAGGGTCACTCTGTTCTCAATTATCCTGGTGAGCTTTGTTGTTTGGGTGAAGAAAATGTAATACTTAAGAGTGTTCATTTTTTATTTCATGCTTTAGCTTCTCCTTAATCTCAGAATGAAAGATTTCACTTAAAGTGGAACTGCACTGCATATTAGCACCACAAACTAAAATGCTATTTAATAAATTTTTAATAATCAGAGCAAACTCCTCCATCCAAAGTGCTGAGCAAACTGTTGGCGCTATATAAATCTTGTATTATAATAATAATCCATGCCTCCATGCTTTATTTTGCTGAGAAATTACTGAGAAAAACACCCCCTAGCATTTCTGGGGCAGATGATTCATGTTGTATTTATTCCTGGAATCCATCTGTCCATAGCTTAGGCATGCAGGCAGGAGGGCATGCTTAGCTGAGACATCCCCTCCTGAACACTCCTGGGATACATGACATAATTTGCCTAGGTCTGGAGATTAGGAAGTAACTAAAGAAATGTAAAAAAAAAATGTTTAACACAAGTAAATATGATATACTTCCCTATCTATTTACTAATGCTAACAGCATAAAGATCATACATATTAAAAATAGTCAATGTTGATTGAGAGAGTGAAGTTCCACTTTAGGTAAGCATGTGGAGTGTTATGTTATACTTGTCTTTAGAGCAGTCGTGAGGTAAGCTGGTGCTTTAGTGGAAAATATGTGACCGAGGATGGGCGTATATTATATAAATTTGAATTTTTGGGGGGTAATCGTGTCCCTTTATTTATACCTTTCAGCATGTTAAATTCTACATTTTTACTACTGTTTATTATTTTCCTTTAGGACCTTTAGCATAGAACATTTTTAAATGCCTTTTGATTGCTTCCACTTCCGCTATGCTGACCAATCCTCAGACCCAGAGAAGGAATGAAATTTAGCCAGTTCAGCACGGATTGAACAATTTTGATCCATGTATGGGCACTGTGTTTGTACAGTAATTGATCTACCAATCAACTTCTGTAAAACTGCCCTGCTAGAAAACTTCCTCTCAATCAGAGCTGCAGGCTATAGCCTGTATCACTGATCAGTGTATTCCCTACTGCCAAAATACAATGACACAGCAGGAAGAATTTCCCCATCCACCTCAAATGTATGGATGGGGAAATCGGGTCAGTTTTTTTTGTTTAACCCACTGGTCAAATGAACCAAAAACGAATCATTTCTAGACAGCATAAACCAATGAAAGGAGTCCAGAAAACGTCCATAATAACTAGACTATAATAACAACAGGCACTTCTGAGTTTGATGCATTTATAGATGTTATTCATAAACAGCTGGTTTACAAAGAATGAAATAATTTTCTGATTTTTGACCATCACTTTCTATACTGTTCTTCACAGATTATCAACACATATACCTATTCTCCTTCATCTCTGCCATCCAATCTGCCTTCTATCTATATTTCTGTCCTGCGGCCTTCAACGTCACATTCCAAATCCTTCACCTAATGCAGCAATGCCCAGACCCAAACTCAGCTTTGGAAAGAATCACTCCTGCCACCTCTGTGCTCTGGGTCCCCCCTCCTCTTCTGTGCTATTCTATCTAAAACCAACTGTAATTTATGGGAGGAGATCATATCATTTCCCCATATTACTGATTACTATTACAGTACAGCAAGTTCCGCTAATTCCCAGGCCATCCTCCCATAAGCTTCGCTCTTTCCTGGGAAGGTACAGCCTGTACATAAAAACTTTTATAGAAATTTGTGTCATTCACAGCTTTCCAATAATCAAAATAAATCTTCAACATGAAATCTTTCTACTTTTCCAGGTTAAAAAACCTCTCATAAGAAAATACTCTAATAAAGATAGAATTAGTGTAGAACAATTATAATACTTTCCCACTTCTATAGAGGGTGCTATTACAAGAAGTGCTATTCCTCCTGCTCACTCATCACAATAAACTATGACAAAATCATTCCAGCTGAAAAATACATGTAAAAATCCCCCTTATAAAACAAATTAAAATTTAACAAGGCGCTTCTATTTCATAGATTACATTCTGTGTAAAAATAAATCATATTCTACTTTGTATTTGGTAAACATTATCTAAATAATAATTTCTATTTTATTGCACATTAAACTGTCTATAGACTCCCCAAAATATTCTAGTTCTACACTGGATTCTCTGCTTACGCAGCCTTGGCGGTGTGCGAAGTACAGTAATCCATAGCAACCATTGCCCATTTAGGCAGATTAAGGAAAGGTAGTTGGTCATTATGGGTTACTCACTGTACACAGAGTATTTTATCACATAAAATAAAGTTTGTCTGAACCCAAATTCATTCTATATTCTCTGTACCAACTACCCTCAGATAAACCAAATCACATTACAAGTCAGTAAGGTCTCTTTGATATTTTGTTCCTAAATGCCTACCAGATCCTGCCTGGCCGGGATAATAAAAAGATATATGAATTCTATAGGGTTCCTCATCGTATAAATAGGTATGCAGAAGCCATGTTTCAACCACATGGCAAGGAGACCCCTATTTCTCCAGTTTTGCCTCTGAGCACTGGGCAGTGTTTCCTCACTCTGAGAAATGCAGGGGGGTTCCTGGACAGAGTTGAAATTGGCACCCAAACATATTTTTTCCTGTTATTACCTTTTTATTATGGAAGAAAAAAATATTTTTCTATTTGGTTAAATAAGTAGAAAAATGGAACAGATTCCTAGAAAAAATGTCACATTTCCTTCTATATGCATGCCTGATGCCCGATAAACCGACTGGCAAAGAGTGATGCCATGGTTAAAGATCAGTACTGCCAGCAAGACTCATAAAGCCTTAATGAGACCAAACAAAGATTCACAGTACCATGTCTGAGTCCCGACTTAACGTCAACTGTGAAAAGCTGCCAGCCTTATTAACTGTTAGTTCTAACAGTAACAGGGGCAAGCAAAAGGAAAATCCCCCAGTATGCCTGGTTCTTGCCATTTACAAAGTCTTGCCAGTCTGGTAAGAACACTTTAACTGTAAGCATTTTAGAGTAAGGATCTTATGTTACTCTTATGAAACTTCTATTTATACTACTGTAAAATATTTTAATATTCTGGAGCTTTTCCGTTTCTTTACGTTTTTTCGCTCCATAAATATCATTTCCCCCAGTGTGGACATGCTATACACAGAGCTAATAATCACCACATAGATAATGAGCACTTTACAACACACATAAAGCATAAAGTTATACATAGTATTTGTTCTAGTTGAGAACATCTCTGTTCTTGTTTTTCTGTAGAATTTCAGAGTTTAATTGCATGAGCTGAGGCGTCCTCTCTGCACCCAATAAGTAAGAAACTGCCAAACAACTGCATACCCAACATGTCATACCAGTTAATGAGGTGATGAACTGTGCTGTGCCACAGTACTGTTTCTAGTATGTCATCTTCTATTAAATACTTAATACTTATCACCAGTTGCTAATATTGCAGCGTTTGCTAATTGCCATTTGCAATAAGCCGCCATTGCTTGTGAACTTCTAGATGATCATCCACACCCATGTCAGGAAACTCATCCTCAGAGAAGCTAATGTGAAGACAGGTGTCATTGGCGGAGGAGAAGGGGAGCGTGGTCTCCACATTCAGTGGCTTTACCAATCCATTACATGGAGGAGTCTCAGGCACAATAGTTGGTGTGTCTTCCAGGTTGTCATAGCTGCTGGTGATGGAGTGGAAGGTCCTGTTCTCTTCGATGGATTCCTGGTGGACAGGTCTCCCCTTTATTGGGGGCAATTCACTATTTTCAAAGCCAGGGAAATAGGAGTTTTTAAATGTTGGGCTAATCTCTTCCATCTCAATGGGTGTTATAGAACATGAAGTGATGGTGGTGAAACTGGTCAGGTTGAGGCTGGTTGGTATGGTCACATTCTCTGTAGATTCATTTATTGAACCTGATAAGATTTTGGAGGATCTCTTCCTGGAGATGGGGAGGAGGAGGGATCAGCTTCGGGATGGAGTGAAGAGGCCTTTAAGATAAAGAAGGTAACATTTTGTCAGTTTCCATCTGCATTATTAATATTTTCACTTTACTCTTAATGGAAACAAGCCATAAGAGATATATGTGGGCTGAAAACACCACTTGCCTGGCTGTGATGCTGATGCTTTAGCATCAATAATTTCAGCCACCCAGTAAAAGAAAAGTGAGATGTTGTGACTTTTTTTACAGAATGGTTTTTCCAAGTCTATGACATAGTATTAAAACCATAAACATCCATGCATTACTGGAGTGATTCTAAAAAATTCAGCTCATACTTCTCCACCTATATTTGAAATAAGGGAGCGAGAACCCCTAATAACATATGTGCTTGGTTATCATAGCTCAGAATAGGAGTTCGCTGCTGAGGCTTCCACAAAAGAACAGCACAACATCTAAGACAGTTTTTTGGCCCTCTAGGTACATTCTAAAGAGTGGCATGTGACTTACCGTCACGCAATGTGGCCAGTGACTAACTTACTGGTGACATGTGCCTTACTGACAGGCTATGTTACTTACTGTTCAGCGACAGATGACCTATATTTGATTTACTACCTGGAGACGTGCGACTTGCTAACAGGCAATGTGATTTCCTGACCAGTGGTTTACTGTCAGTAAATGCAAATCGATTACCAGTGACTTGCTGAAAGTAACAGATAATTCTGACAATTCTTTAAATATACGTATCTAGTACTTCACTGAAGAACACAGAACTGCATTCTTTGATGCGTGGCTATACATTTGCCTACAGGAAGTTTGGACACTGTGGGCCAGCTACCTAATCTTACATTGACTTTATGTCAACATCTAACAATGCAAGGGAATACCCCCCAAAAAGGAAGTAGAAAGCTGTGTCTTCTACTAGAGAAAAAGATTATACAATAAGTAACAAAAAGCTTATTTTTTCCCAGTGTGTATTGGAGGATGCAATACTGTATTCTTCAACATGTGTGACCTCTGAAAGCAGTCCAAAGATGAAGGGGAGGGCAAGGACACAACAGGAAAATAGGGTCAAAGATCCTTGCAACCCTGAAAGAAGTATTCTGAACATTTCACATTACTAATTGCATCAAAAGCTACTGTACACCAATGTAGCTAAATCAACCAGATAGAACTAAATAAAGGTGTAAATCAAAGACCAGAGAGCAGCATTGCAATCCTGGGAAACTGAAAGCCGTGAGCAGTACCAGAAAATGGGGGAGCCCACTGTTTCAGGGAATAAGCATTAGAAATTATTTGACCAGTATATCTGGATATTGATACACTGGAAGACAGAAAAGCTGTAAGACCAGTTTATAGCACATAATAGTAATTTGCAAGAGCCCAGGTCTTGCCGATTTTTAAAGCAGGGGTAACCCAATGCTACAACATAAAACAAACAAAAACTGTATGCACCAACCTAGTGCAATAAAAAATTATTTAATATTAAATACATTCACAAGTTATGTGGAAGCACAAGCATATCAGCAGCCTATGCAGAGCAAAAGCTCATGATGTAAGTGGAAACAGCCCCACCATGGCAAGCAATAAGTAGTTCAGCAGGCTGAACTCTCCTCTATGGCTCTCCAAAGGACGATGGCCAATGTCAGCAGTTGTGGTGTCCTGGTGGCTGGAAGACTATAGTACCCAGGCAGGCACCCTCAAAACATTTTTCCCAACATAGAAAATGTTGTATGAAAAGATTTGTGCCATATATTCATATATAAATAAAACCTAGCAGGGCACCTGCAAATACAGTGATCCAGGATATGTGAGGCCATTGCAGTAAACTTAAAGTGATCCAGTAGAACACTGCAACGTGATGGTAGAAGGCAGAAAAAAGACCAAGTGGTCCATTGAGTCAGATAGATAGATACACTATATTGCCAAAAGTATTGGGATACCCCTCCAAATCATTGGATTCAGGTGTTCCAATCACCACCATGGCCTCAGGTGTATAAAATCAAGCACCTAGGCATGCAGACCACTTCTACAAACATTTGTGAAAGAATGGGTTGTTCTCAGGAGCTCAGTGAATTAAAGTGTGGTACTATGATAGGTTGCCACCTCTGCAATAGTCCATCCGCGATATTTCCTTGCTACTAAATACTCCATGGTCAACTGTTATTCTGACAAAATGGAATCAACTGAGAATAGCAGAAACTCAGCCACAAAGTGGTAGGCCACGTAAAATGACAGAGCGGGGTTAGTGCATGCTGAAGGGCACAGTGCACAGAAGTTGCCAACTGTCTGCAGAGTCAATAGCTAAAGAGCTCTAAACTTTGTGTGGCCTTCAAAGTAGCACAACAGTGCGTATAGAGCTTCATGGATTGGGTTTCCATGAACGGGTAGCTGCATCCAAGCCTTACATCACCAAGTGCAATGAAAAGCATCGGATGTAGTGGTGTAAAGCACGCCACCACTGGACTCTAGAGCAGTGAAGACGTTCTCTGTGGAGTGACTATCATGCTTCTCTGTCTAGCAATCCAATGGACGTGTCTGGGTTTGGAGAACAGTACTTGCCTGACTGCATTGTGCCAAGTGTAAAGTTTGGTGGAGGGGGGATTATGGTGTGGGGTTGTTTTTCAGGGGTTGGGCTTGGCCCCTTAGTTCCATTGAAGGGACCTCTTAAAGCATCAGTATAAGGTATTTTAGACAATTTCATGCTCCCAACTTTGGGGATGGCCCCTTCTTGTTGCAACGACTGTGCACCAGTGCACAAAGCAAGGTCCATAAAGACATTGATGAACGAGTTTGGAGTGGAGGAACTTGACTCGCCTGCATATAGTCCTGACCTCAACCTGATAGAACACCTTTGGGATGATTTACAGTGGAGACTGCGAGCCAGGCCTTTTCGTCTGACATCAGTGCCTGATCTCACAAATGCACTTCTGGAAGAATGGTCAAACATTCCCATAGACACACTCCTAAACCATGTGGAGAGCCTTCCCAGAAGAGTTGAAGCTGTTATAGCTGCAAAGGATGGGCCAACTCAATATTGAACCCTACGGACTAAAGTTCATATGCATGTAAAGGCAGGCATCCCAATACATTTGGCAATATAGTAAATCTATATAGGACAATCAGGACCTCCTTCCTCCTGCTGGTGACCCTTCTAATGATACATCCTAGAATTCTATTCGGTTTTCCTACTGCCCAGCCACAGTGTTTGCTCATTTTGCAATCATCTGAAATAAGTACCCCTAAATCTTTTTCCTCTGTAGCGTTGACCAACACTGTACCGCCAATGTTGTACTCTATCAAGGGATTCCTTTTCCTTATGTGCATTATAGTACATTTAGAAACATAGAACTGCAGTTTTCCACTGCTGACCAATCTTCCAGCAACGTCAAATCATGTTTCAGGTTACAAAAACTTCCAGGGAGGTCAATAATATTGCACACCTCTACGTTATCAGCAAATAGACATATCTTACCCACCAATCTTTTAGTTATATCAAAAAACAAAATAAATAGAACAGAACGTGTTATAGAGCCTTGTGGTACACCACTAGTCACTGGTCTCTGTTCTGAATGAACCCCATTTGCAACCAAACTCTGACATCTATCCTTTAACCAACTACATATCCTATTGTACTAACATAAACATTAATTCAGTTTATTTCTGAGAGGACTGAACGGAAGTAATTGTTTAAATGGCTTGTTAGATCCAGCAGGTCTTCTCAACATAAGTTTTGAACTCCATTACCATTTTAGTGATCCCATGGTATTTTTCTGTTCCATCACTGATGCACCTAAAAAGCTTTTTTTCTTCTTGATGATCAGATTAGCAATTTCCTCCTCTTGCTGTGTTTTGGCACCACTGATAATGTGCTTGGCCTCATTTTGTCTGTTTTTGTACACTTCTGGATCAGCTATACGTCCTATTTCCCTGCATCTCCATAACCCCACCAACTCTCCCCTCCTCTGACCTCGCAACCGCCCTACCTCCCACCACACCTAACGTCCCGCACACTATAACCTCTCCAACACTCCGCTCCTTCAGCCTTGCTACAACTGAGGAGGTCACTAAGGTCTTCTCAGAAGCCCGCCTCACCACTTGCCCCCTTGACCCTGTTCCCACACAACTCCTCCAGTCACCCTCCTCCTCCATCCTACGCTCCCTCACCCACATCTTCAATCTCTCTCTCTCTCTCTACTGGCGAATTCCCCTCCCCCCTAAAGCACGGGCACATCACCCCCATACTCAAAAAACCCTCCCTGGACCCCACTGACCTGAACAACCTTAGACCCATCTCCCTGCTGCCATTTACATCCAAGCTCCTTGAGCGCTTAGTCTATAAATCGCCTATGCGCCCACCTCACTGACTTCCGTCCCCTACACTCCACCGAAACCGCCCTACTCAAAATCACTAATGACCTGCTAATCGCCAAAGCTAATGGCCACTACTCAGTCCTCTTACTCCTCGACCTGCAGGACTTCTCCAGGACATCCCCCATTCCTCTGGAACTCACTACCCCAATCCATCAGTCGACCACCCCCTCCTCCTTAACAAACTACACTCCCTCGGCATCAGAGACTCGCTCTCTCCTGGCTCCCCTCCTATCAATCCCAACGCTCCTTCAGCGTTACCTATAACGCTACCACCTCCCCCTCTCTCCCCCTCTCTGTTGGGGTCCCCCAAGGCTCGGTCCTGGGGCCCCTTCTCTTCTCCATCTACACCTCCTCCCTCGGCAAACTTGATACATTCCCACGGCTTCAACTATCACCTCTACACTGATGACACGCAAATTTACCTCTCCACCCCTCGCCTCACCCCTTCAGTCTCTGCCCGTATCACCCACCTACTGAACGACATATCAGACTGGATGTTGCTCCATTTCCTCAAATTGAACCTTTCCAAAACCGAGCTCCTGATTTTCCCCCCAGCCCGTGCCCCCCTCCCCCCACCCTCTCCATCATGACCAACAACGCCACCATCAGTCCCACCCCACAAGCCAAAGTCCTAGGTGTCACTCTAGACTCAAACCTGTCCTTCCAACCCCATGTCCA